GTAGTTTTGGAAATTTTGTGCGTGAATTTTATTGACGGGTGGCATTTGTTAAAATCCTCTATGAAGCGGAAAAGACTTCCCTCATCATGGTTCCATATCATAAAAATATCGTCTAAGTATCTTCTGTAGTAGAAAGGTTTCAAGGTGCGTCCCTCAATGAATGGGATTTCAAGTGAAGCCATAAAGGTGCTCGCGAAGTTTGGGGCCATTTTCGTGCCCATTGCAGTGCCACTGACCTGAAGGAAATGCTTGCCGTTGAACTCAAAATGGTTATAATTTAGTACAAGTTCAAGAAGTGTAAACAGTACCTCGCCACTTACACTAGTTGATGAGTCAGATTTTACATATTCAGAAACCATAGCCGCTATTCCGTCATGGTGGGGTATGTTGGTGTACAGTGAGCAGACGTCCATGGTCACGAGAAAACTGCCGCCTGGGATGTCGAGACTTGAAGTTTCGCAGATGAAGTGGTTTGTGTCCTTTAGGTAATAGGGAAAATTTGGGGGGATGTTTTTTATTAAGGAATTGATGAATTCTGATATATTTTCTGTTGATGTGCTGTTACTGGATACTATCGGACGTCCCGGATTACCTGCCTTGTGTATTTTGGGGAGCAAATAGAATCGACCGGGAACAGAGTGGGCGGGTAACATTGCTTTTAACATTTTGCCGGTAATTTTCTCGTCCCGGCGGAGATTGTTTAGGGTTACTTTTATCTCCCTTTCAAATTCGGGAGTCGGGTCCGTTGGAAGTTCTTTGTAGAATTTTGTGTCTGATAGCTGTCGTTCCCCTTCCTTTAAGTAGTCCGACGTATTTAGAATTACTATGCAGCCTCCTTTATCGGCCGGTTTGATAGTAATTCCAGGGTTTTTTCGTAGTTCATCGAGTGCCCTTCGTTCTGACTTTGATATGTTGTTTCGAAATGGCCGGTTTTTTCCATACGCTCTGATGATATCTTTTTGAACTGCTGATATATACATATCGAGGTGTTTGTCCCTCTGCTCACCCGGACACCATGATCTGTCACCACCAATCACTCTATTCTCGTTCGTACAGTCCTTGCGATCATAAAAGTATTCACGGAGGCGGAGATTACGCGCAAAGTTATCGAGGTCTTGGTACAGTTCAAATTCATTGAATCTACCGGATGATGGACAAAAGGTCAAGCCTCTCGACAAAAGTTGAAGCTGAGCGGGTGTGAGTGTTGTGTTTGACAGATTGAGGACATTTTCCTCATAAGTTTTCGGCTGCTCTTGGCTATCACGTGGCACGGGAGTGTCAGCGTCATATTCGAGAGTAAGGGTGTTTTGATTAGGACTGCACTGTGGTTCTGAGTTCCCATTTTGCCTCCGAGAAGTAAGCCAGGAGAAAATTGGTGACAAAGATTGATAGCTGGAGACCATGCTTTTTTCTGACTGACTCGTACGTGTACACTGTCCTTATTATTTTTTTTTTTTCACATGCACATACAAAGTGTTTACGTTCGCCTACCACTTCATGACCGTTGAAGGGAAACGGACGAAGATGAAAGGTAAATAGCCGACCGACCCATTAACGAGAAACCTTTCCTTTACACACACCGCCCGCCGCCCGCCGAACGACCCATTACGGGGAAACCCCTTTCTTTAGGCACGCCGTCCCGGACCCTCCCGGCACCGCGGCGACAATCTTGGGTGGCCCGACACACGCCAAGAACTGAACAGCACGTGATATGAACCGTAGGTGGATGTAGACGGACAGTTGGCTTCGTTCTCAGTGTTGACAGTGGTTCTTCCACTTTTTTACTTTCTTTCTTTTCTTTCTTTTTTCGTCTTTTTTCTCCCCTTTTTTGTTTTTTTCCTTTTTCCAGTTCCCTCTCACTCTCGCAAACATCTTTCAAGGCGAGAGGGACGCGGCAGCAAGGAAGTTTGGAAGCTCATGTCAGTATAACTCATCCCCTGATGAAGGGAGGTCCCCTCCCGAAACTGTTGGGAAATAAATATATTTATCCTTGTTGACAACGCTCCCGTTGTGCCATATCCCATACCTTCACGAAGACTAACTGGCCCATTGAATTATTACTCCCACTATATATATATATATATATATACTCTCACTCTCGCAAACACCTTTCAAGGCGAGAGGGACGCGGCAGCAACGAAGTTTGGAAGTTCATGTCAGTATAACTCATCCCCTGATGAAGGGAGGACCCCTCCCGAAACTGTTGGGAAATAAATATATTTATCCTTGTTGACAACGCTCCCGTTGTGCCATATCCCATACCTTCACGAAGACTAACTGGCCCATTGAAATATTACTCCCACATATATATATATATATATATATATATATATATATATATAACCTTGCTCCCTACCATCTGCTTTTCGGCACCTTTTTGCACCCGCCTGTATTGCGGATGTAAGTTTGAGTCTATGTGCCGTTCCGCAAATGACCACAGACAGCTGAACTTCTTCACTTGAAGGTGTGCTCGAGCTGTTTTACGAAAACGAACATCAGTTCCACGTGGCCTTGCGGGAGATGCACGACACAATGTGACAGCGTTCGGAAATAACCGGAACTAATGACAAAGGTGCCAAGGGCGCAAAGGCAAATATTAGAAGAATACTAGAGATAAGCTGGGAATTAGAAAAAAAAAAAAAACTAAAGGCAAGAGAGGAAACGGAAAAGACAAGAGAGGAAACGGGAAGGTGGTGTCAAAACACCTAGATGCAACAACAATTACAGCCAGCAGTTGTGGTGGAGTGAACGTAAACATATGCTTGTCGGCTGCGGAACGGGCACCTTTTGTGTGTGTGTGTGTCGCCAACTAATATGCACTCACTTGGATATTCTCCCTGAAAAATATCGCCTACCTAGCTGTGAAGCGATTTTCAACTGGTTTATTACGCAAAGGTGTAAAGAAGTAAAAAAATAAAAAAATGCCAGGATTAGCCCTAAATTGAGAAGAAATAAAATATTTTCACGCAATTTGTTTCGATTATGTGTTCACTGTTGAATGTAAGGTTGATCGGTTGCCTTATCATTAAGAACGTCGTGACGGAAATAGAGAAAAACATTCAAAAGCTCGGGGACGCAAACACTTGTGTTCGCATTTTCCAATCTTTTATCACTCTTTTCGTCTCACAGTATTCATATTATTCACTTCATAACTGCTCGCTCAATTGCCAGTACTGAAGTCACAGTCACTGAAATTTCAGACTCGAGTCCACTGTTATGAGATCACACACATGCTAAGTATATTTCGTGGTTGTTGCATCTGATACTGTATTGTATGAATACTATGGAAGTGTTTGGAGCAAGAAAAAAGGCCATCTTATTTTGTGTTAAATGAACAGTGGCAACTTCAATTGCTGAGGTTGCTTAATCTAAACGAAACGATCAAAATCTTAAGCAACATTTTCTGAAGTGACATACTCACATTTACCATAATGAATTTCGATGCATTAGAAAAGGTGTAGCTCTTCCAGATCAGTTAGTAGTGATCTTGTAAGATCTGAGTAAAATGTGCTCACAATTCTTACTTCCGCAAAACCTTATCGGTGTGCTTGGCTCCATGCATCTCGGGCAAGACAATGCCGAAAATTTGCAAGGGTTGCAGCTATGTAAGAGCAAGATCGGTAATTACCTGGTGGGCACACGCTAAACGGGTATTGAAAGATTTCGCGGGTCGCACACAGATGCACGCGCTCAATTGTAACTACCGCAAGCGCGCCGCGCATGCGATTCCGTAAGCGCTCGCAAACACTGCCCCCCCCCCCCCCACCCCACCCCCCACCCCCGGGTGTGGCGCCGCAGCGGTGGTTCGGGAACTAGACCTGTCACGCCAGTTTTGGAGCACGCGGCGGGCCGTACCCGTGTGCTCTTTCATCCGTTGGCCGTGCCACTGTATGCCAACATACCATACAAGCATACCGAGATATTATCTCAACAGCACACGGTGTTTTGTGGCTTGCATCAGTCAAATCAGCCCAGACCGTGCTATGATAGTGTCATTTCCTGTGCATAGGTGCACCCTATAAAAATATTCGTCTTGAACGGCTTGAGTATCCTTGCGACAATGTCAAATGCCCTAACATCCCCTTGAAAGTCTCGTATATAGCAATCGGGGAGCTCTAAAGCTGCGACACCGTTTAATGTTCGTGAGGCATTTGGCGAGCGGAATAGCTTCAACTCATCGCTGCAATAAGGTTTACGCTCTCGTTGTCCGATGAACGCCTCCATCCACGTTTCTGCGGCTGTAACTTCAGGCTTATCGGTGGTGGCTGTCGAATTATTTTTTCTTGTCCGCGTGCCTTTGCATGTAGTCACCTCACAGGAGAATGAAATGATAGGCTGGTAGGGTGGTGGCACCTTTCAGAGCAGACATCAACCACTCTGTCGGGCGCATTGGTATATGGTCACCGAGATTGCGTGTGACCCTGAGGCGCACAACCTTCGGAGGCCATGACTTGGCGACGCTCATACTGTTGAGTGCGCTGATGAGAGCACTGCGATTGCCAGCGATGCCAAGGTGTCTCAAGAGCGGAGGAGGCAAGGTAGTGGTGAGAAGGGGATAGCTTTAATTGTCCGTGGCGGCCTTGGTACATGGTGCGTTACTTAAAGGGGTCATGAAACAAAAATCAAGCTGTCCAGTTGTAATTCCCCCTGCTTCATTAAGAGTTGGACATGCTGATTATCAAATTTTTCAGCACAATTTCTAGTCTATAATAATAAGATTCATTTGACATCGCAGTTTTGTCGGGCCGGTGCGGCCCTATTGGCCTCATCATCGTGGAGACCACGACAGTGGTACTGTCTTGCAATATTTTTGCTGATTGTGTGCTTAAGTAAGAGTATAGAAAATGTGTATTTATGAGACATTGTCAACAAAAAAAAATACCTTGTGTTTTCTACACCAAACATTACCCTCGTTTTATAATGGGCATGAGCACTCTACAAATTTTTTGCAAACTGACGTGCTTACAAATTGTTTCACATCTGTCCACACTTGCATGCAGGGCTGTTCTCGAACGGCATGAAAAGAGGCACAGGGACAATCGTGTGGTTTGCATCATATGCGGCCGGCGCTTCAGCAGTCAAGAGAACCTTGAGGTGCACAAGAAAGTACACACCTCGGCGAAACTGTACGAGTGCGACGTGTGTGGCCAGTGCTTCAACGTCCTATCAAACATGAAGCGGCACCGGAACCTGCACTCTGGGACTGCTGGGCAGCACACCTGCCCCGACTGCGGCCGGGCGTTCCATCAAAAGTCGCACCTCAGGTCGCACATCCGGACCCACACGGGTGAGCGGCCGTTCCAGTGCAGCCAGTGCAACGAGCGCTTCACCGAAATCGGCAGTGTCAGGAAGCACGAGCGCATGATGCATGAAGGCGTCTACCCGCACTACTGTCCGTACTGTAACAAGGGTCTCGCCAACGGCTACAAGCTGAGGATGCATGCGGACGCGTGCTACCGTAGGCAAATGAAGGAAGACGCGACCCAGACTACATGAACTGTGAGGATGAAGTGAAAGTGGTGGCGAGTGTGCAGACTGCTGGCCATGGTGGCCTTGCGGTTCAGGTGTGCCGCTTCTCAGCACAAGACTGTGGGTCTAGCCAGCGCAACAGAGCTATCCCAAGGTATTTCATGCAGCGCTATAGTCGGTTACTACCCTAGAAAAAAAATGTAGGCTCTGCACACAGCCATTGCTCTCTTTTCCGCAGAAAAACCTGTATAACTGATCCATCCAATTAGTGCTTACTTATTCTCATGATGTCGGGAACTTCTCGGGTATTTCAGATAGCTCACTTCTGTGTACAGACACATTTGTGTCGCTGATTTAAGGTTAGAAGCTCTAATGTCCACCTTGACATCGTCAGGAATTCTGACGTCGCTTCTGAGCCAGACACAATGGTTTATATAGTAACAGGGAACCTTTACCTCCTAATATGCATACTATTTACACGAGCCGAGAAGTACTTGCGGTTCAAGTGGAAACCAGATGGCACGACTGTCTTTCGCAGGTGAAGAACAGGTGCGGTGTTTCGTGGGCAGAGCGGAAGTTTCTCTGGGGCTGTAACCAAGTATATCTACATCATGGCGTGGCGCCACCAGCACATTCGTAGTGACCGTGGACGGCAAAACACCATCCTTGTCGCCTCAGTGATGAGCAGTCAGACAGTGCTCAGTCTATAAGGGAGCCAGGTAGAAACCTTTCTCCATTTTTAGAAAAGTGTTTCTACCTGCAGTCATTGTTAAGTTATAATGTGTCATCAGTTAATATGTGTCATGTTTAGTTGTGATGTCTGAGAGAACATATGAGTTTGTGGTAAACCGCGCGAGGAAGGACTAGCCATACTTGCTGGCTGTTTAGCTTGTAGTAATTTACGTTGTGGCATGGGCACAGAACGGCAACATTGTTTTGAAAATGTGCCACATTTTGTTATCTGTAGCAAGGAGGTTTGGATGCTGTATCCACTCTTGAGAAAATTAAGACAACGGCTCCAGCAGCTGTCTTGGTATGGGCATGGTAAAACGTTAGCCTTCAGCAAAGGAAAGGGGGCATGTAGCGCATAGACAGAATAACCGCTGGTCATTAAGGGTAACTAACTGGATTCCCATAGAAGGCAAGCTGGTTAGGGGGAGACAGAAGGTTAGGTGGGCAGATGAAGTTTGTGGGTGTAAATTTGAAGCACCAAGCACAGGACCGTGTTGACTGGCGGAACATGGGAGAGGCCTTCGTCCTGCAGTGGACGTAGTCAGGCTGATGATGATGATGAAAGAAAAAGGAGCATCTTCCTCCCGGGCTCTTGAAATTTAATATGGCACATTTCTTCCGAGCAGATACATTTAAAATTACCAAACCTACATATAAAGCATTCCTCAATATTACGAAGTTTTAGATGCGAAGCAGCTCTTTGTCTAGCCTGTGTAACGCTGTTCCTCCGTTCGCACCGCTCCCCTCGCCGCAGGTGTTGGAGCGGTAACCAAGTAGCTCACGCCCTTCTAGCAGTGACGTCTCTCTCCCTCGTCTGCCATGCACTCGCTGCGTGTCGGCTCTTTCTCGCTTCACCCTCTTTACCGCTCCCAACGCCCAAGCCCACCCTTCACCTGGACATAATCTCACTCGGGCCACCTCCCTCCATCTGTCCGTCGGCGGGTGCGCGCTTCGAGAATCTTGCAGCGCCGACAATGTGGACAGCGTTCCGCTACCTGCCGGGTGATCACGCTGACGGGCGGGACGCCGTCGCGTATATGCTTTCCGCTAGTGAGCGCATACGTTTCCCGGCTGTCACCGACTGTGAGGGTTAGCGAAGCCGATCGCGTTCGCATATGGCGACGTCAGCACCGATGAGGCTTGAGCCAGGGTAAGTTGAACGCAAGTGTCGGCAGTGGAAGACCCGCGATACCGACGAGGTGCGAGTAGAGAACACCGATTGCGTTCGAGAATACAGACAGCGCACGGGTAAAACCGACGAGACGCGAACCAAAAAAGCCTAGCACAATCGTCTTAAGCGCGTTCCGCTTCCCGTGTCTTTGCATTTCAAACAAAGCTTTACTCGAAGTAAACGCTACCCTGAGTTTCGCTTCAAACTGTTTTTCCAGCTCCGCGTCGACGCCCTGTTTCAACGGGGCCAATGCCGTGCGCACTAAGGCCCCTGTATTTTTCAAAGGTAGCGCAAACTCCCTTCCCGCGCCGTTTCCTCCTCGCCCGCCACTCTCAGCCGCCATGAAGGAGCAACTCACGCGAAGTCGCCGCCGGACGGTTTCGTTTTGTCGCGCGGCGCATTGAAGTAAGGCCCCTAGGGGCCTTACGTTGAAGTGCTTGCTTAAAACACGCCAATTCTTGGCGTAAATGCACAACGGTGCTCGCAAATACTGTGTAAGAACAACAGTGTACGATCGGCCAGTGCCTTAGCTATCATCTCGCGTTTTGAGGGGAACCAAATGTACGAAATGCCGCCCTATCGCAATCTGCCTTTGCAGTACTCATCGTCGATTTAATCTGGGGCCTGCTTCACAAGATAGAAAAATCTGGGCTTTGTGTAATTTTTCTTGGGTTTATAATCTGCCTTTGCAGTACTCATGGTCGATTTAATCTGTTGCCTGCTTCATAAGATAGAAAAATCTGGTCTTCGTGTAATTTTTCTTGGGTTTATAAGTGTGGAACAGCCCCTCAAAAGTTAATATGAGTGCTCTTAGAGCTCGAGTTTGTACAGGAACAACAGAGCCCTACTGAAATTTGGGACATGCATGCCTGCTTCCATAATGGGACGTGTGTAAACGATTCATCCATAAAATACCACAAATGTTTAGTGGGATGAAGGTAGATTTTATTTAGTGCGCAAATAAAATACGGGAAGCATCGAATGATCACGAACGCTGCAAAACATTCCAGTAGAGCGACGACAGGGCGATACAATTTCGCTATCAAATCAGATAGCCTCTACAGCATGCGAAGGAAAGAGAAAAAAAACTTAATCAGGAGCCTTCAACCACGGCGCGCATCATCACCCTGCTTTGCGTCGGCTCGTTAAACCTTGCACTCACGGAAACAGAGAAGAAAACACCCGCTTTGAACGTAGGTGACACAGCCGGGCATGGCCAAACACAAACGATACAAGAGGTGTCGTTCGCAGACGTATACAAATACACGATAAAATATTGAAACAATCATTGCGCACTTATAAGTAGAGGAACCTTTTCAATCACAGACATACACATCGTTGCATCGTGTATACAAGAAATAGGCAAAGCATAAACAAAACCATTGCACATTTGTAACGGTATCTCTCATTAAAACATTCAAGTCAAGTGACAAAGGGGTGAAACACTCTCATTAAATCAGATAGCCTGTAAGGCATACAAAAAAAAAACAGAAAACTCGCGGTCTGAACACAGATCAGACAACCGAGAGTGGCGCCCGGACGTAAAGAAAACACAAAATGCACTGGTTCGCAGCAATACACAAATATATCATAAAATATTGAAACCCTCATTGCACACTTTTAAGTAAAGGAACCCTCGTTTTTAATTGCAGGTATACGCATAAGGCACTGAAGTAAAATATACATTGGACATATCTAAGTATATACAAGCACTAGGCTAAAGCATAAACAAAACTCATTCACATTTGTAAAGAAACCTTCTTTTTCGATCACAAATATACACATAAGGTACCGAAGTCTACTAATGTGACATTTCTAAGTGTGTACAGGAAATAGGCAAAAACATAAACAAAACTAGTGCACGTTTTTAACGGCATCTCTCATTGAAACACTCCTGCTGCCCGACTTTTTCGAAGCCAGTCGCTTTCTCTCCGCTTCAGCATTGGACTTCTTTACTAATATCTGCATCCTTGTTCGCAAAAACAACTGTACAATCTTCTTGGGCAGTTCATGGCATGGCGGGAAAGAATTGGCTGTGAACAAAGAAGCTATTATTTTTTCCTGCAATGCTGGTACACTAACTTTGTTTGTGAGAAGGTTCCACTTCATTTTTTCTGACGTAAGCCTCTGCAAACTCAACAACCTGCAACACTGCCGGTGATGGAATAGCCAGCGTCATTTTGTGTTTGGTGAAGCTTTTTAACTGCTGAAGCCTGCAAGCATTACTCCTGTCAGACAGTGCAGCTTGACATTCTTGGCAGGCCAAACCATTCTTGACTCCCCTCACAACATACCCAGCGAGGTATGTCTATGACTCCTGCTCTAGAATTTCCAGATCCAGCATGTCGTCAGGAGTGTGGACGGAATCTACTCCGACATGTTGGTGTTTCCCACTGTTGATTCCGGCAAGCATGAAGCCATCAGCATCAGAATAACTTCCGTCCTTACTCGGTCGCAAAAACAGACAGAGTGGCAATCTTCAAGGCGCTCCGAAATTCCAATCCCCCTGGGACAGGATTTTTTGCTCTCAAGGTTGAAAACAGGTTTTCAAGAGCGTCAGCGCTGAAGCGGCTCAACAAGAGATAGACAAACCCCAAGTCATTCAAAAACAGCTCCTGCACATGCAACATAGTTGTAGTCGCCATCACTATGCCCGTTTGAATAGGCTTACAACATTTTTTCGCATCAGTTTCGATTTCGATTTTTTCAAAAAGGTCAATCATGCCTTTTAAAAACGTGACGGTCTCCTTGTACCGTTGTTCATCGAAGTGGCTGATGGCAAGCTTTGTCGTTCTTGAGGACATTAATTTAAACCATTTAAACACCGTCTCAACAAACCACGCTGTGGTTAAGGCATCTGTGTTATTAATTTCGTCGTCCTTTGCTTCTACAAGCATGCGCAGTGCAGCCGCTGTGTCGTTGTTAAACAAACTGAAAGCAAATCCCACTTTCATCTTTTCAAAATGTCCTGGTTGCACGCATGCTTCCTTCAAATGGGGTGCCAGTTTAAGGTCTGCCTTGGCATCAACCTCTACAACCCGCTTAATTGGCTGGACTGACACGGTGCGGCCGGGAAGTTTTAGCTTTTTGGCAAGGTCTTCTGTCAGTGTAATCTCTTGTCCTTGAGTTAGGTGATTACGCAAACTTTTAAGCAAGTGTGGCACATCTGGCATAAAAAAAAGCTTTCTGCTAGGGTCACACGGGTGAGCACATGAAACTTTCGGCTTGCTGTGCTTTTCAACTACAATTCCGAACAACTTCCAAAGAGACTGGTTGCCTCCCGTCATGTCCGTCACAACAACATGCAAACGGATTCCAACTTTTTTGCACTCTGTGATAACGTCCACTATGATCTGCTTCATTGTCTTTGCGTGAAAGGAATTGCCTGTGAGGTGGCATGCTACAACCTGTTTCCACCGGGTGCTGACCCCACCAAGCATGAACACAATTGCATGTGTTGGAAGGCATCCATCAGGCAATGTACCGTCGGCTAGAGGTACCGTTGGTGCTCCAAATACTGTTCCAGAGGACGCGTCATATGCCAGGCCAGGTGTCAGCTGTATCTCGTCTATCATCAAGGTTGCATGCCGTTCCTTTGGATCCATTTGCCCAACCTACAAAAAAGCAGGTGTTAACCAAAAACAGCTTCAAACTAGTGCAAATTAAATGTGCCAACAAATAAGAAGATTTGGGGATTGCGAGAAATAAAGCATACCTTTAAAGCAAATGCTGGCATCAAGTCATGAACAAGCTTGTCGCCTTTTGCAATGCTGCTGGAGCAGCCAATGGCACAGCAGGTCGGCATTGCGCTGCATCCGAGGCCGCCTTGCTAAAGGCAACACACGTGGAAGCGAGATGCAGTGCGCTCACTCATGGCGTCGCTGCCTGGCGGAGCCGAACCTGACGAGGGGTCAACAAGGTTCATTGGTCACGTGTCGCGCCTGGTCCAATAGGGTAGCAGAAACGCGCGCCGGAGTGAGGAGAGACGTAGAGAGCGGGGAGGAAATTCTCCTCCGCTTTTTGTACAACGGTTTGCGCTACCTTTGAAAAATACAGGGGCCTTAGTGCGCACTGCTGCTGCTTCCCATCCCATCAGGGTTCCCTTGGGGTGGTGGTTTTTTTTTAGGGGCGAAGCTCCTTATGGCGTGGCTTGTGCGTCCCTCGTATGTAACCACCAGTGGCACATACCCGAAATAGCGGTCCTTACGATT